AAAATGTTTTGCTCATAACTTATGTCGTAATTATAAAAACACTCAATAATGGAGTCCTCATAATATGAAACACGCAAACTCAATTATTACAATCATTTAGAAAAATATATAACTACAAAATGCACTGACATTTACTGAAGTTGGTCACACTGCCATGTTATATGCAAGAAAGTGACGTCATTGGTGTTTGAGATCGAGTAATGGAGGGTAAAAAATATTGCAGCGTTTTTAATTTATATTTAATTTGAGACAAACATTCAAGGTCTCTAAATGTTATTAAAGGTTATAAAATGCTGTCTTTAAAATATTAAACATAACTTTATTTGGATTTGTAACATTAGGAAACATCCCCATTGTAAGGTTTAATTTTTTTGTATCACTCAATAAAGTACTAGAAAGTCTGTTACACAATATTGTCGGATTACAATAGCGCAAATTATTTAAAAAAAAACGCAATATTTATCAAAAATGCACTAACCAACCAAATATCCAACACATTCTCAAACTATAGCATGAAGTTTTTTATTGAAAAATATTTTTATTATCCGCGTACGAACACAATGACCGGCACTAACAAGTGTCGTTAACAAAAGGCTACTCGAAAAAATAAATTACCAGAGACCAACAAACCGTAATTGTTTCCGTTTTCTAAAGCGTCGCGCTGATGTCGTTGACATAACTTTATACAATTCTATTTATTTATACACTAATAACTAGAAAATTTTCTAACAGAAGTTCTTTAGCTGACGAAGTACTTACATATACTTTTGTTCTGGCACATTCTTAATAAAATGAACGTAGATCGTAAATTTAATTAATGATTGTTTTAACTATTCTACGCCAGAATATTTTGTGCTTTTAAAATTTTATTTACAAGTCTAAATATACTTTTAAACGAAGTCAAGCCTTATGTAACAAAAAACAGAATTCAAATTTCTAATTTTCCTATCGAGAATACATTTTGCAATAACGCGACGTCAATATTTAAGGATAAAGAAAACACTATTAACATGCTCGAACACACAAAGGAGTCTGCCAACAAGGGTTCGATTGATATTTTTCCGTCAGTTATACCCTCTTGTCTGCAAGCTGCCGATTCCCAATATCCCGGCACACCTCAAGCGTGACTTCAATGGAAAAAGCCAATACTTTTAACAGAATTTTGTTTAAAAGTTACAACTCAATGAATCTTTTGTAAAAATTATGCCTGTCATCGAATTTTTATGCTTTTAAAGAAATCTAGAATTCATTTTTTTTAATATCATTTCATATTTATAAAATGGATATAATTGTATATCTCAAAAAATAATTATGGCAAGTAAGAACACAGTCTAGTATCAAAATAGTTAATTAATTGTATTGTTTTGCAAAGAATCTATCTTTGCATTTCAATTGAATTACTGAAATGTACAAAATTATTAAGTATAAATTATTGGGTTTATTCGAATGGTTGGTATATCCTTGGCGACCTTCTTTCTATACCTGTTGCTAATATCGTGAGAAAGCGAGGCGACCAAACTGCGCCACCGCCCTCTGTGTTGTCACCGTGAACACAGTAACTCCATTATAGGGAAAATATTCCCTACTTGTTTAATATTCAGTATACAATTATACATCTTTTATTTCTTTTATTTAATTAGGTAACTGATATATGTAAACATAACTGCTGAAACTATTTGCATATATGACATTAAACGAAGTACTAAAATTTATTCAGCAATAAACATTGTTCGGTATACTCCGATGTAAAATGTTATTATCAACACAAAACTACCCATTAAATATAGAATCATATTCTCATTGACCCGTGTGTTATGATTATACAGATGAGTACATTTGTTACTCGTTAAAATATAGTTACCCGATTCGGGGTAAGGTCGCACGGCTTGCTGGCAACATTCAGTCCCGGGCGGCGGCAGTGTGCGCGAGCCGGGCGCAGCGCTACCTCGCGCTTTGACACGGTCAATCCTGAAAATCATAACATTTTATAACAAATACGTTCATTTAATATGTAATATCGCGTTTTAAATCAGTGAATTTAATTTTATTTATTGGTAAAATTAGAATTTAACTGTTTGATTGGATTTTATAAATAATACGGTTTGATTTATAAATCGATCGAAAATTAAAATAACTAAGATTGTCCTTCAATCGTTTTTATGATGAGTTCGTATAATATAGAAGTGTAAATAATTCATAATAATACATGATTCAACCTTACATTCCAATTTAATATCTTCAATCATTTAATTTTGAGTCGCTAACATTGACTATTATAAATTGGGCGTCTAGAAAATTTACTCTGACATTTCGTATCCTTATTCTGGAAATCTAAAGTGAAATGTATTGATATTTTCCTATATTTAGCGAAATTAATGTTTTGTGCTTTATTTTATTGCAATTGTTTTGTATTTTAATGTAAGAAAAAACATTTAGTATTTTCAATAAGTATACGTTTTTCAACGTTTCATTCAAAATTCTATAATTAAAAACAAATTATTTCACAGGAATCTCTAACATAAGTTAGCATCATATTTAAAGTATACGCTTCAAGGATAAAATAAAATACAAAATAATTGGTTTTTCGAGTAAACATACACGTTGTTACGTCTACGTCGCAGAACGTAAACAAACGCCCACGTAGCACTTCTACGCTGTCTCTACGGAGGGCGTCGAACTAGCGGCGCCCACGCAACAGCTGAGAGGGTTTATGCTGTGTAGACGTTTTCAATATTACTAGTAATCCGCCCCGACTTTGCTCGTACATACAAGATATATATTTTATCGATCCAACTCAGTCATTTATAAATAATTTTCAACGTTTAACCAGTGATTTTCTGTTGCTAAATAGTCAGCGCTACCAATCTCCTCTTTTAGACTTCACTGTTCTCTGTTCTGCAAAATTTTCTTTGACAATTAAAGGAAACTCTAGAATTCAGTATATAAATTCAGATATTTTGAGCAACAAACGTAAACTTTAAAGTCTAAAGCATAAATATTTAAAGCTCCTTCTTGGTTTATGGAAATTGTAAGTGTTGGCTTCGCTCAAAAGCTTCGCAGCGACAGAACTTTTATAAATATTGTATTGGTGAAGTAACTATATAAATATTCAACGTGTTGTCATTTAAATGTTGATATTTTAAATAAGTATTTCTAAAGGACAAATAAGTCACCAAAACGAATAAATCTTAATAAGAGTAGTACATTTTTAAGTTTTCCTGCTTGATTAATAAATCGACACATCAAATATACTGTAAATATAACTTTAGATCAATATAATATTCCTAATACGAAGTAATTCACTCTCTATAACAAATAACATATCTACAAAATAGGTAATTAACACATACAACGAAAGCTGACCTAAAACCAAAACAATAATTAGAAAAAACCCCGAAGAAATATTTTCGGCCTCATTTATAATGCAATATAGACTTTTAAATTAGTGAGTGATGTTTGTGTAAGTGTGAACAATGAGTGGGCTAGGACCCCCCGGCGTGTGGGCCGCACAGAAGAGACTGGAGTCGTGGGCAAGGGCAGCTAGAGAAAGGACATCCAGCGCTAGTAGTGGGCAAAGCCATAACTCCACCGATAGCTTCGGTGATGACAAATCCCACAGCAGCCCAAGTGTACGTATGAACTTTGTGAGTGATTTACTAAAATACAAATGTAGCCAAACCATGACGACGTAGTCTTTCATTAGTTTCAAAAATTTTTCACCGAATTGCGGTTCGAAGTATCGATTCAACTGACAAGCAAGCGACTAACACTGCCGACCACAAATAGTGTTGCAACCACAATGCTTTCAGCGAGTCACGTTACATTATGTGCCGTGGATGATACACTAAATATTGAATCATACTTTAGTAGGTCATGCAAGGCGTACCTTTTTCGCAAACATCAATCTATAATAGAATGGTAATGATTGATTTCATATTTCTTTCGTCATTATAAATTAATATTTTAATCATAAACCTTAAATAATTTGACAGTGGTAGTGCCCGCTTTAACATCTTAGCACTGCAGGGCCGGCAAGCCCGGTGTAACACCACGACCACACAGAAGACAGGCGTGAAATGGAAGCAATTCCGTGTTTCGTCTGATGAGTGTGGTGCCGGAGGCCTAATTTAAGTCCTTTTCTCTTTACCACCCTTTTCTTAGGAGAGGATGGAAAGGGGAAGTGCATTTGACGGTGGAGGAGATGCATAGGAAGGGGCAATATCCTCTTTATGTGCGTCTACTCCTCCGTCGAATAAAGGTAGGCAACGCATCTGCGATCGCGGTTGTCTGGGCAGCGGTCGCTTCACCATTTTGGCGGATTCTGGTGGCCGCTTGCTCGTTTGTGGCAAACTTATGTTATAAAAAAAAAGAAAAATAAATAAAGCTAAATTGTCTTTGTAGAATAAACAAACGAAAGGTAATGAAAGTGAAAAATAATTTATAGAAGCACTGCGACTCTGGACCCTTTCCTTTTTATTCAAATGAGGGTAGAATAAAATACAAAGCACTGAAAACTCGTGGCAAAAATACATTATTCAAAAGAGGAACGATGTAATACTAGCCGCCATAATTAACCACGGAGCGTTGAAAACTGAAATCTTATACGATCTTGAATAAACCGGGTAACGTTTTAATCAAAGTCAAAAAAAGTCTGTGAAACAATAAATTGCTTGTCATAGTTCCAAGTTATTATTACTTCGTAGAAAAAATTAAATAGACAAAGCTTGCAGAAACTAGTGTGGACAATTTATGATATGCCAAATAGAGGCGTGTCCTAAGTAATTTCCACTTTGCCTAATAACCTTTTTGAATAAATTTTAAACGTTTTCTTATTTACTCAGGCCTTAACTACTCATTTGTCTTTAAGTATAGTAAGCACAGATCTTTTTAGAGACAGTTCACTATATCGCAAATATTATCATGTTCAACAATATTCAAATGTAGAGAGTTCTGTGCCTTCATGATGCAATCCTATTCAACATAACATTTTACCATAACAGGAGATGCTGATTCCGAAGGAGCAATGCCGAGTGCAGCCGCTGACCGAGGTGCGCACGGCTAGCTCGCTGCCGCACGCACGGCTAGCGCGCACGCCATCTATCTCCTCGCAGAGTAGTCTCGACAGCGGAACCTCAAGGGCCACTGTAAGTAAACAGAAAATAATAGAATGCGGTTAAGGAGAGCAATGTAATACATATGACGTCATATATGACTGTTCTAACCAAAGAGTTTTACAATTTAAGAAGACAATGAAGCGAAAATGTAACCAACGATAATGATCGACATTTGATTCGATTACTTAGATGAAATAGATATGCATTGCATTTTTACTAAGACTTACTAACCTACACAATATAATCATAGTAATATTAACTATAAATGCGAAAATTTATATGGTTGTATAGATGCATGTTTGTTAGTTTGTAGATGAACGGATTTTGATGAAATTTTGGCAGACGTGGAGAATAGAATTAAAGCACACATAGACCACTCACTTTTGTTTTTTTGTAATCCCAAGTGGGCGGAGTCGCGGGCATAAGCTAGTCTATCATAATCATGCTTTGGATATAAACGTCAACTATATTAAACCAAGTTTAATTCTTGTCAGCTTTCATACATAATATAATGAGGTATCAAAAGCTATTGAAATTACCACGAAATCTGACCTATTTATTTATTCACGCGTATAACAATTCAAAGAGAATTGATAATGAAAGTTGAGGCATGGTACAGACAACTTAATTTAATATGCAGTTTACAAAGCACTCTGATTGTGGGCAACATAAATGTTCAAACGACCGTAGAAAGGTAGGCCTATAAGGTAAAGTTATGATGAAGTTGTAATTGTTTTAAACGGAAAGAGGAAAATATTGTAAAATATGAAACACTTGAAAAGGAAAATGGTTAATTTTATTTGATTAAATTACACCTTATACTTATAAAATGACTATAGTAAACTTACTTTAAAACTGCGAACTAACCAGTAAAAGTGAAAACAGATTAGACGGATATTTAGTTAACAAACTTGCAATTAGGCTTGCTTCGTCAGAAACACTTCGAGACATCGGTTCGTGCATTCAACACTAATTCTGAACAGTAAATATGAATCATAACTGTAATATATTTACTCTTTGCTTTTATAATTATCTCCTAAACTAAAGATCCATCCAGGATTTTATGCCCGGTGCCCATTAGTTTTGTTTTGCGTTTTGTACATCTGGAAACACAAATAGCGAATTTCTTACATAATACCTTTACTCCACTTTGAATAAACATAATTATTAATGTATTAACCGCCCTTTATAAGCTGTAATATCGTGTAATATTTATATGCTTTAGTATCATCTGTTCAGATCTGATCTGCTAACTTTTTCAATTAATAAAAACATCAACAAAGTTCGCACCGTTCTCAACTAGTGGGATACTTTGTTGATCTTATTAAGGTCATAGACGCGATCTTCTGAGAAAGTTGTTCCGTTTTCGCAACGTAAGGAAAAAGTTGTCTTTTATCGCACTATACCAGGCACAGGTTAAAAAGCTAGAAATTCAATAAGGAAATATCACGAATTAATCTCAATATTAAAACCCGACCCACGAAAAGATTCCGTCATAATCGGAAAAGGGTTGAACGTCAACTATCCATCTAACACAACACCTTAGTAGGAAATAACTTGTAAAATTAAATCAAACCTTTTTTATTCCTAAGTACGTCATTTCCAATGTAACTATTAATATTTAAATGTTGCCATCTTTTACAAAACATTATTGGCCTGTTAAAATTGTGAGCTTTTAAATCCTTCTAGGCTTAAAATTGACTTACTCTACCATTCGATCACATTTCCATAAAGTCTTTTACGTCTGAATAAACTTCTAGAATTATCGTTTGATGAGATAAAAAGTTTTTGATTTTATATCAGACCTAAAATTAAACCTTAAAACCCGAAATTAATCTTCATTGCAATCTCGATCCGCCGAGGGCGTTATTTTTAGCTGGCTGTTTATTTAATTTCGGAATTTTTAACCTTTTTGTTACAAAGTATGAATTATTTCGTTTATATAGATTATAAATATTCCACAAAGCAGTAAACCAGTAAAAATCATTAAAAATAATAGATATTAAAGATTATTGATTAATAGTTAATAATCGATTATTCTTAGTGTGTTTTGTAAATTAAAAAAAATAAATAATGAATTTTGAATAGGTGAATATTATTCAATTCTTAAGTTAACGTTTTTGAACGTAAGTAGTAAACTTATAGAAAAATATTCCTACATTTTAATCCAACATCTTCATAATTTAAACTCGCATTCTACATTGTACCCCATTGTTTTAACATAACAATTGTTTTGTTACTTAAGAATCTTAAGTTAGCATATAAATAACAAATATTATTCGCGTATGTTACTTAACTTGGTGAGTAGGTTTATAAAATCCTTCTCACATACATAACTTAAAACTTCTTTCACTTTAAAACCCCGTATTTGTGTTGGTTAATCGTAACCTTGGATGGATATAGAATTTTCATTATAGGTAAACCTATTCGAATATCGATAATGTAATTGTCCATTGCCTAAACTATTATTACACAACGTTACAATTACACATTATAAGGCAGCTTTTCCAATAATAAATAGGTTACCTGTACGTTGAAATAAAACGTTCTCGCCCACAAATGTTACTCGATATACCTACTAACAGTCAATAAAATTTTTGAAGAAACTACCGTATTTATTTTGAAGGAAATATACCAAATTTACATTTTGTTAATTGACAGAGTAATTTATTAGATATATTGTTCTTATAATTAAGGATAAAAAAAAATTAAACAACACAGGAAGGTATAGAGGTTAGCGCTCTGTGAAATTCTTCCTGTAGCCTTGTACATCTTTGTACCAACTGTTCCAGAGTCACCGCGGCTCGTCACCAGCTATCCGCACTTTCGCTCCGGACGGTCGGACGTTGGAAGCTGGCAGCACGGGCATACCGCGATCTCCGTCTCCTCTACGAGCTGCCTCACTGGACGTGCGTGCTGCATCCCATGCCCACGGCTCATTAGCCTCGCTTGCAGACTCTCCCGCACCTTCCAGCCCGAGACACGTGCCTCCAAGGTGCCTGTCCCCGCTGCTTATGCCGCCTAGGTATACACCGGAAAGTTTTATTTTTAATTAGAATATTGGTGATGTGACGTTTTTACACTGAATATTATGTTAATCAAGAATTGCATGACTAGTTATCTAAGAGGAAATAATAAATAGTAAAGAACTTGTGATAAGGATTATCTACACATGGAAGTTGAGATATCACAATAATTAGTATCTAATCATTTATTCAATGTTGTTAACTAATAATTTAAATAAATTAAAGTTCACTGCGTTTTGCCCATGTTTGAGGAATAGCATTTTGCAATGTCGGGCACTAAAATTGAGCACTGCCCATAAACATATGTACATTCATATTTATTTATTTAATTCAGGACACATGAAATTAATTTCGCAACGAAATAGTAGGATACGTGTAAGATTTTGATATTGTCTTCTACATTATGACGACTTTAGTCTTAGTAATGTAAAGTTTAAAAGTCAGAACTCGAGATGTCTAGTAGTACAGCCAGTGTAAATGTCGTAGGTAAAGGCGCAGCTCGCGGCAGAATCAATCTGTGCGGCGGCGTGCGGGGCCGCTCCGCGCAAATTGATATAAACTCAATTTTCGGCGCTGCCTCCATTTCCCCGGCCCCTTATTCTCTCGACACTTAGCTACTACATACAACTTATGTAGGGGACCGATGTAATTATGTTTCTCAAACGATTTTTTATACTGTTGCGTAGAAATGTTTTGAATACTTCTGCAAGTAATCTAAAAACCAAGGGTTTAC